TCAATCTACGATTCATGTTTCGTGGGCAGGCACATAGAATACATATTCTTTGTAGCAATGGAGCCTATCATCGCTCCTTAAGAAATACCACCATTTACCGCAGAAGAGCTCAAGTCCGCCACTAATAGAGTAAAGGCCAAGAAAGCACCAGGCCCAGACGGCATTCCAGCAGAAGTTCTAAGAAAAATCGCCACAGAACGCCCTCATATGATTCTAAATATGTACAATGCCTGCCTCAAGAACGGAATATTCCCAGAAATTTGGAAAAGGCAGCAGCTGGTCTTAATCACCAAAGGAAAGGGAAACCTGGACTCACCATCAGCGTATCGACACTCTGTATGCTGGACACAGCTGGAAAACTCTTAGAAAGGCTGCTAAAACCTAGAATAGAAGCGGCTATCCCTAGCGGTGGCGGACTTTCCTCAAGACAGTACGGATTCAGGCCCGGTAGATCAACAATTGGAGCTATAAAACACGTAACAACAACAGTAGAAGCCGCATACCAACACAAAAAGCTAGTCCTGCTTGCAGCCTTAGACGTTCGCAACGCCTTCAACACCGCAAAATCGGAAAATATGATACACGCACTAGAAGAAGTCTATAACATACCCACATACCTTAGACTCATGGCTACCTAGAAGGCCGGGAGTTATTGTACCATACCACCGATGGACCCCGGCAAATGACGATCACGTCGGGCGCAGCACAAGGCTCCATTCTTGGGCCAGACCTATGGAACGTCAGCTGCGACGGAATATTAATCCTTGAGATGCCTGATGACACATATTTAGTAGGCTACGCTGATGACATTGCCGCAGTGATCACCGCAAGACTATGATAAGAACACAGGCATGGCTCGACTCACACGGTCTTAAAATTTCAGCAGTGAAAACCGAGCTAATACTCCTAACCAAGAGGCATATTCCGTTAGAAGTGAGCATGAAACTGACCGGCATTACATTAAATACGCTAAGAGTAATAAAGTACTTAGGCGTAAGGCTAGACCCCAGGCTAACGTATTGGGTACAAATGCAGCACGCAGCCGCAAAAGCAGCAAAGGCAACGACTTACCTAAGCAGATTAATGGCCAATATTGGTGGACCGACCCAAAGTAAAAGAAAACTTCTAATGTCCACAACCTTGAATATTTTGCTATACGGAGCGGAGATCTGGTCTGACACCTTACAGAAAAATAACCGTTGCAAGATACTTTCTAGAGTCCATCGCACAGCAGCTTTAAGAGTAGCCTCTACGTACCGTACAGTGTCCGGCGTGGTAATACTAGTTATAAGCGGAACGGTTCCCATTGACCTGCTAGAAGCCGAACTCAAGAAAATGTGGGAGCTTAAGGCGCAAACGAATCCAAGCGCAATAATCTGCAAGACCAATTAACCCAGATAACGACATCCAAGCCATGCTACATAGCGAAACTAACTGGAAGAACATAGTTAAATATGCAGAATACTTACTTAGACTTAAGAAGCAATAATGAGAAATATGGAACGCCACCCTGGAGCAATGCGATTAGTGGTCCCAGGGTGGGCGACGGTTCCAATTCGGGGGGAGTGTTTTAGTCTCCGGACATACCATTGTTGTGACTACGGCTTTGATGATGCAATAGGCATTTTCGACACCCTGCCCGCGAAAAAAAAAAAATAAAATAAAATGGTCACGGAACCTACCAAAGCCCAATCAAGCCTACCAACCTACGACTGAAAAAAAATACCAGTTTTGGTAGGAAAAGCTCATGTGTGGCAACACTGGTTGCGTTATCGTTTCGCCCTCAAAATTTGCGCCGAGCGCATGCACTAAATTGGCCATCTATCTGACTACTTGTCGTTATCGGCAAATCGTAAAATATACCAAAACGGATAACTACGACATTGGCGTTTACTGATAGTTGTGTACGCATTATTTGTTCACATTTTATAGGGAACAAGCAGTTTTTAGCAAAAAAAACCGACTTCAACTTTCATAAAAAAAAATATATATATATATATATCTCATGATCCACTGATCGGATCTTAACCAGATTAGTGTGGGGCCACCTCTGAGACACTACCATTCCGATGCAAAAAGAATTATCGAAATCGGTTGATCGTGGTCCAAAGTTATGCGGTAACATACATAAAAAAAAAAAATAAAAAAATATTCCGTCGAACTGATAACCTCCTCCTTTTTTGGAAGTCGGTTAAAAAATAAGTGGCTAATATAATAATTATATTTTGGGGCTTACGCTTTTGCTAAGTTTTTGGCAAGAGCTCCTCCTCAAATTTGTGGTATGCTCTCTAGGCTCTATTGCACCAACGATTTATCATTGGCATTTTAAAAAATTATCAATGCTGCGCCAAGTTATGTTGGTCATTAACTTAGGGCCAGTTGTTTAATGTCCAAATAACCAATTTTACCCGATTAGATAAGCACTAAAACATTGGCAAATATGCTTACAAATATGCTCGAGAATTGGGAAATGCCTCGCCAAATAAACGTTTTAAAGGAAGTGCAGGAGCTGGGGGCGGCGGGCGAACTATACTTCCATAGGTTGG